TAAGAGATTTTGTTGGAGATCCGAGTCAGAGAATTCAGTGCCACTATTGGTATGTATAATTTTAGGAGTTTTGCCAAATTTTGTCATTAAATGTTCCAGTAGTTGAACAATTTGGCTAGGCACAGTTTTCTTCGAGTAGACTGGCCATGCCCACTTCCAGGAAGTGAACTCATCAACGGCAAGGAGAAACCAGCTTGCATTAGGAATCGATTTATCAGCCGTGGTAGGGAACAATGACTTTTGACCTCCAACTAGGTCCATGTGGATGACCTCTCCAAACGAAGATGCACTACGTAAAGAGCTATATCCTTTGAACTTGGTGATTTTGGTTTTGATGCAAGTCTCACAGTCGTATGGAAATTTGTAACCTTTAATATCTGCAGTTTTTAAGGCTATGTCTTGTGCTTTCTGTCCAGGGTGACCAAGTTTGTGTGTGTGTGTTTATTGTGCTACTTGAGTCTATGACTATCTAGCACATTGGGCTCCTCTCTGACCCAGGCCACACCTTGTACAGTGCTCCTATCCTCTTTTGTTACTTGAAAGATCATTGATATATTCCCCTTGATGAATAGCCATTCAGCTCAGTATTTACCCGTGGAATTCAGCCACCTTTTCCACGGAACCTTCTGCCCAAAAAAAATAAAAATGGTAGCAATGGAAACTGCGTGCGCCGGGAAAAGCCTCAAAAAACCTCTGGCCCCAGCCAGGCGAGGCCTAGACACCGGGACCACCTGAGGTGCGCATATTCATCTATGTCTCCCTTCTTTGTAACGGTCGAGGCCGACTAGATCCAATCCACCATCTCCGTATCGGGTGCTGGGTACGCTCCGGAAACTCATCGGATGGCTTTTCCTCCGTGATCGAGGTTTGGTGATGAGTAGAGCTCCGACCCTACCATCTGATCTGATCGTGGTTAGCTCCATGATAATGGTGATAGGGGAATGTGTTGAGAGATGAAGACGATACAGACCGCGAAAGCGATTGGGAATCCTCTTCGAAGTGAGGACTTTGTTACTCAATCTCGGCTCTGCAGACTCTACAGTGAGAGCTGGAGGTTCGTAGGGGACACCACTGACAGGTGTTGAGAATAGTCCCCCTTAGGGTGACCAAGTATACCATGCCAATCGCGTTGCACGGGATAGAGTTCAGGGTTTACTAAGTTCAAAGGGGGCTTATATATTAACCTGCCAGTAGTACGAAGAAAAATTGCACAAACTGTACCATCAGGACGAAGAAGTTCGACATTACGATATTCAGATGGCCAACGTATTGAGAATCCTTGGCTTTCTAGTTGTGCCGAGGAGAGAATTTAATTTCTTTGACCTGGCATGTGAATAGCTCCCTTTAAGATTTCGGTTTTGCCGTCAACGGTGGGAAAATTTAGGTTACCACGGCCAGAAGTTATCACTTTACCTCCTCCGGCTATATAAACAGTCTGAAATGCAGGGGAATAAGAAGAAAAGTCTGATTTATTTCCAGTTACCTGAAAATCGGCAGCAGTATCCAACTGATAACTATAATCTTCTAAACATTTATCAACAGAAAGAATATTCTTGTTCCCTTGATTTAGACCCGATCGAGGTTGTTCTTGAGCTTTGCCCTTGTGAACGTTCATTTTCTTCCTACATTTGTCTTCACTGTGTCCAACGACATGACAAAAATTGCAAGCCTTTGGCTTACCTGAGGATCTAAACGAACTACTATAGGTGCATTTTAGACACTCAGAGATTGTATTTTCATATGATAGACCACGGCACCGATTTGCCAGATCAGGCTAGAGCTTTCTAACGTGAAAGAGTAAGATATGGTGCATCTGAAAGTGAATTTCTGTCGTAATCTGAAAATGCTCCCTTAAATCCTGATATCGCTTTTGATACTCTTTCATAAAGCTTTGTAAATTGGTATTCTTTTCAGGTTGATAAGTCCAAAATCGAGAAACAATGGAGTTTGCGTTTGAAAATGAAGCAGCTTGAGAAGATTTAACGATTTCATTCAGGATAGCTCGAGGGTTATCACGAGGTGCTGTTCTAATATGAGGGGCCGTCTCACGAAGTTTAGTGACCCACCACGTTGACCACATTCGAATGGCTTTATTTTGTTAGAAATTGTCAAGGATTTCTAGAAGGAAATATCTCGAAGAACAAGTGTACAATTTCGGACAAGAATTTATTGATAGTTGTATGTGATATCGAACTCTCTTCTCAATATGAATTAATAATATATAATACTCCGTTAACTTATTTTTACATGTACAGATGAGTCTGTCCTTAAATACAGATCCCGAACTCCCAGTGATCTAGCAACAACCAGCCACTCAATTATCGCAAGGTAGCATTTCCTAGCCACTGCATTCCAGATGCCACTGAATCTTATTTCGTCCAACTGAGCTTAATCATATTCAATCGAATCAACTCAATTGATCTTGATGATCATACCTAGAAATCTAAGCCTTCATACATGCTGAGTCTAAATTTGCAACATAGTTCGAGGTAGTTGAGGAAGGAATGCCGCAGAGGTTTGGGATAAAAAATCAGATTTTCGACGGATTCAAACCATTGAAACCAATTTTTTTTCTTAAGACAAGGAAGTGGTGTCATCTTGTCAATGCTTTGTAATCGGTCAGTTAGCGTCCAGATTTGTGTCTTTCTCTGAGACTCTTTGATCGATTCTTTCAAGTCATCCGCAGTAGTGAATGTGAGACCACCAATGATAATATCATTTAATTCATCGGAAGGAGAATTATCATCTTTGAGGGGATGTTTTCCCTCAGTATTCGGGGCCTTAAAGGAGTCAGACATCGTGAAGATGTGCGAGAGTTGCTATCGAATAATATATTTAGATGAATACGAGAGCACCTTAATCGATGTCGTTGATTAAGAAACGGAAGCTGAGAACGAAGTGGAAGCGACTAAAGGGCCATAACCTGTTGTGATCAAAAGCATGAAGTTTTATTATAAACTGTGAAGGCTAGAAATAATTATAAGATTGTCACATGACCAAGTCATGTGAGACATAAATACCATCACACCTTGTGATCTGAAAAGTGTGGGCTAAAGACTGTGCGTGTCGAACGAGAAGAAGAATTTTCCCATGTACAAGATTTAGGTATCGGCTGATCTGCCTCCATCACAACCTACACACTAGCTACTGTAGTCCTCGCAGATCGTTCACTTTAACGGTAATTTCCGAGAGCTTTTGCGACCAGCTGCCCTTGACTATCTAATTTTCCAATCAGGAAACCTTTTTCATTTTTTTGATCCATTCTACATTTTATTGAGCCGTTGCGGGCTATGATAAACGCCGCCTCATAGAAGCTGTCAGTAGATTCTCTAATGATGCTGATTATTTACATACTCTCAAACGTCATGGCTGTGAGGTGGATGATAGATTTCTAAAATCGAGGCCGAATGATAGAGACATCTAGATTTTACCCTTCAAGTGAGCCATGAGTACGTTAAGGAGTCGGGTATTGACTCGCGTATTGCTGATGAGATGTTTATAATTATCAAGGATATTTATTGATGCTAGACGCATAATTAGCTAAATATTTCTAATAAACTTCATTTTATTCAGGAAGACACGACATAGCCAATTCAGCATTCACACCGCTGATTGAGGGTAAAAAATTTCTTGATTATTTAGTGTCATGAAGGTTAGTCAAGAAAACCGTATTAACCCGTGCTTTTCCACTAATTACTCTTTTCAACGTATCCTCCCTCCTTTGTGTTTGAAAGAGGCACTTGCCGCATGGCTCTTTCAACTCGAGCTAAATCGATGACAAGAGCTCATAAACTTGTCAGCAACTAGTTTTGTATGGTGCAGTGGTACACCATTCGGGCCTACCTCCCACGTATATTCTGGGTAACTTGAACACCTACCTCAATTCAGACTGGAGAAAGCTGGCTCGAATCCAGGAAGACACACACACCACACTTTCTCGCGGTGATATTGTAGTTGTGGCATAATGAAAGCACGCTCGGATAGCCACAGGTTTTTCACGCTTTTCCCTGTGGTGGGTATGCACGGAAGAGGTTATACGCCGTAAGGGTTAACCTCGAGTGGTATCTGCAAATGAAATCTGATTGTAAGTGTTCTCGTCGTCATAATGAGTCATCCTACTTAAAGTACAAATCTTCCGATAAAAACTGCATCGGCCTCAAGGCGCCAAATCAGGACAATTGAATAATTTATTTATTATTTCAATACCTTGGTCAGAAATATTTCGCGTTTGACTAAGCATTTTCATCAAGTCACAAGTCAAGGACATGTATAAAGTTTTCGTGGCATCAGACTCAGTACACTCTTTGCCAACTTGCTATCTGTTGCTCATGGGTGAGACTGAACCTCTTGAAATAAAATAACACTTCAAAAATTTGATCGATGTATTACATTCAAGCCCAATCACCAATAATTTCTAGTCGTTTAAGGGAGGGCAAAATGGAGACTAACTATTAACCTGTGCCGATTGGAGCCTAGGGCTTCAATCCGAAGTTTTCTAGGATGAGTCAACATACTGATTAAATTCTTGGTCCTGAGATCATTTAAATAACAGGCTATAGATGGTCACAAATCACATAAATTCTCGAAGCTCTGTAAGCCATTCAAGTAGTGTAAGAGTCTTCATGAAATACACTAAATTGCACCTACCACGCTACCATTAAAAACTAGGCTGAGATTGAAGAAAATGTCAGCCATTGAGATTCTTACTAACAAAGTCGCACCAGCGACGTCCTTCTGTTTCAATTTAATCCCACCAAAGCAAGCACTCATAAATGCATTCGCGCAGGAAATGTTTGACGCTCATTATTTAGCTCAAAGATGAGAGGGGGTTTCTAACATCTCTACTCTTGCATTCTGTTATATTTTCATTTTTAAACTGGATAGCCTATGAAAATGAGAAGAACACTTCCAACCATAACAAGAAAACTAACACCCGCGAGCCACCAGTTACAGCAATTCGAGTTTTGATTGTTGCTGTTTGAAGTTGGCTTTTCATTTCTCTAATGAGAGAAATGACATACATACCATCTCTGGCTCTCGATTTTTGTAACCCAGTCTGCACAAATCTTGAGTCGTTCTCGTACACTTACGGTAGAGAGTAGCTTGTATTTCTCAGTATCCGATATTGGTAAGACACTGGCAAACCACCATGGGAAGAGACTTGGATCTTGAGGGAATTCACCATAAACCTCAAAGACCCGAGTTTGCAGCCAAGGCGCCGATTGTTCCCGCATTTTTTTGACAAAGTTGACGCTCAAGTTGAATAGTTCCCGAGTTGATCTCCTTTCAATATATGATGTTGCCTGAGTATCAGATGACTGAGTGCCATATCTTGGTAACATATTTTCTCCCAAGCTCAACTCTCGACTGTGATTAGGTGATTCCGATACCGAAATTTCATGCGCCTCTAAGGCGTCCTCTACCGCCAATGGAACGTCCTCGACAAGTTTGACTTTGGCTATCATGTAATCATCTTTAACACCGTGCTTCATCACCTTAAACCGGGATAGTCCTATCGTCTCGGTGAGACTACGACCATCAGATAAGTTGTGCACATTGACAATATGTAATAGTGTGCCATACTCGTAGAAATCAACCTGGCCATGCTCGCCTTGTGGTTCTTTTTTTTGATTGTAGAGGAGCATGCCGAAGTTTCTGTCGCCACTTTCGACTGCTCGTCTAATCATAAGACGATACCTTGGTTCAAATATGTGGAGGAAAGTCGGCATACTTGGAAAGGAAAGTGTACAGATGAAAACTGGCACTTCCATATCGTCAGACCCTAATTTTTCTTCATTCTTTGCTATTTCAGCACGCGCGATAAGAGCCTCGGGACATAAACCATTGAGGAGTTTACTGAGTATTATGGAGGGTGTCTCTGACGAAGAGACCCCGTGCGGTATTTTCTGAGGTGCCCGGCATATAGGACAAAGATCCGAATGATCAAAAACTCGTCGTAAACAGGTTCGGCAGAATGTATGACCACATGTTGTCGTGAATGGGTTGAGGAAAACGCCATAGCAGACGTGACAGTCTAGCTCTCCTCTTATAGCTTTTTTGAGATGATGAAGAATCGTCCTATCGATAGTTTCCGATTGCTCAGTATTCCCAGAAACTGATGCGTATGAGACATCCGAATCATATGAAAGTTCTCCTAATTCTGCCATAGTATACGTCGCGAGAAGTCGACCACCGGGTAGTACCTGAGTCCGTGCAAGCGGTAGAGTAGAAGATGTATCTGACCAGGTATTTCTTTCTTGTAGCTGTACAATAACTTTTGAAGCCTCAGCCCATCCCTTTGCCTTTTCCATTTCATGCCTGACTAGAATTATGATTTTATTGAGTACAACATTAACATTACACTCTTCGGTAGAATGATTGAGTGCACAATTTGGAAATGGACAAGAGAATTCGTAGTTTCTGTTCGGTGGGAAGGAAAATGATGTAGTTTGGCGCAAATTTGCAGTAGGAATGCATGTTCGGCAGAGAGTGTTGCCGCAGGGTAGAGTAACTGGTTCTTGTAATGGGTACGAGCATTTCGGGCACTGAGCTATTCTCACAATTTGGCGTGCATCTTTCGAGGCGTCAAGGGGATCATCGTCGTGTGTGTGGCCCGAAGTAGAGTCGTTGGAGACTCTTTGATGTGTTGATATGAGTGGAATAGCACGGGTGCCGCTGACGAGAGGAAGTGAGGACATTAATGAGATTTCGATGTTGAAACTGTCTGTGGAAGAAAGAGGGTAAGTTGGGTTGAACCCGTAGAGGAGGAAGCTACCCTTGATTTCCTTTTCTCCAGCGCTTCGATGATTTTATCAAACCAGTCTTTGTTGCATGTAGGAAATGCTGATATGAGGATATGAATCCCGCAACCCATGCGATGGCAAAGTTGATAAACTAGGTTATGGCGGAAGGATGTCACTGGATCTAGTGGAAATGGAAGACGTCAGCAGTCATTGATTCTGTCATATCGGAAAGGAAATAAGTTAATACGAAATTTGCACGATCTCAACTGGGATTGACAATTTCTAAATATAGCAAGCACCAATCGCATAAAGCAAGACTATCTTTTTTGTAAAGTAGCAGGGGTTGGAAGCTGAACGAACAAGATGTAACATTGAATAACACAAACAGACAGTCCCAAAGACCTTGATCCATTGCTGGATACAGAGATTTAGAGTGACTGAATCGAGATTAGTGGACAAATTGCCGTTCAGCTGGGCGCAAGATTTAGTCTGCAATACTTGTTATAGTCTATCTAAACTACGGAATTCAAAATATGGGCAGTGCCGATCATATTATGCAATTTTTTACGCCATCCTAAACCCGAACGAATTCATCATTGAACGAAGCCTTCTGAAGAGCAACGAAGCAGCGACACAGCGTGACCAGCTACAAGCCTGATCAGGCCGTTACATCTGACTTTTTCTTGTGATTCTGGAGAACTGCCGGGGCTGATGAGGCGGGTGTGGAAGAGAGAATGAATATTGTAGGGTGAGGCCTAGCGTTGATTAGTACGAATGTTTAGACTAATAAGGTAGTCCGGCTAGCTTCTAACACTAGTTACAACAGGGGGGTGGTGAGTGTAGGGAAGGCAAAGAGAATCCAGCTGCGTTCGCGTCGCAACGGAGAACCCCAGGTCACATGAGGGCTATTCGTCAAGAAATGAAACCCCTGTACATATGTGTGTATCCCTCGGCCATTCCAACGAGGTGCAGCAATCTTACTACCACGGCCGCGGCACGTGACCCTAACGTTGGGGGAATGTTTGTGTTTGGTGCAATAAGAAGAACCCGCGGTCAACGCCTCTGGGATTGACACATCATTCCTGGCTAGAATCCTTGTACATTTGTTTGATGTCTTATTCCGCCCATGAAGGTCTAGTTAGGAAATCCAAGTGCTCCCCCATTACCATGTGCAGAATCTCAGTCGCTCACAAATCTCTTGGGTGAAACGGAATTAGTGAGCTTCGGAATCCGAAAAGCGTACAGGGGCTTTAGTGGACATAGGGAGCTCCATTCCATCTCAGGAGAACCAAGGCTCTGTATGACCATGAGGTGGAAGATGCTAGAATGCAGAGTCTGTGTGCCTTCTTGTGATCCTCACATCGGAGGAGGCGGGCTTGATGGGGTCTTTGGCCATGAAGCCAAACGTGCTAACCTTGGCCATCAGGAGCCCAAGTTCCTCGGCAGCCTTGAGATCTTGCATGTGTCCCTGCATTCCCGATCCCTCGGAACTTGGGCCACTCAAGTTCTCGCGCTGAGTCGGAATGTTTGGGCCAGCGCCGGTAAGAATCCGAATTTCCCGGCACGATTCCACTTGCTTCTAACTCTATGATCTCCATGTTGATTAATCCCCCGTATTTGTGACTCATGCATTCTGTTCATTAACCAGCGAATGTGAGTGGAAATCAGCAACGCCCTCTGAGCCACATATCCGCTATTCACACAGGCCCTACCAGATAGTGAAATTCTTAACACTCTGGAAGCTTTGGTTGATTCACAGACCAATTATCGATTAACTGTAGTTATACATTCAACCGTTCTTAGCTAAAAAGGAAATTAGTGGATAATAAGTTTTCAAATATGTAATCATAACAAAAGTCTTCTCCGAGTTGGGACGGAAATACAGTAGCAGCCTACGTTTCAAAAATTTCACCCTTATAAACTACCGATGGTAATGAGCGCCTTATGTTTAACTTGATACCGGTATGGCATTGAGAGTCTGATGTATGCGAGATGAAGCGCATTTTTGCGTACTCGACGCTCTTGTAGTCCAAGGCCTAGTTGTTGTGAAATATCGTAAAGTCGTGTATGGCGGTTGGCTCTCTGATCAACAATTATCATCAAAGTTGATCAAATATCTTCAGAATCAATGGTTCAAATCTGGAAACGAAGGAATGAAAGCTTAGTCTCATTCAGTGTTGCTAACCATGCACTTGGGAGTGGTATTTTCTCGCAGAGCCAAGCTACAGTTAAATTTTGCCGCATTGAAGACGTCGATCCGTCAGACAACGATGCAAGACTTCCAACCACGTCAACTCCCCACTCCCGAAATGGCCGGACTCCGACCAAAACATCATCATGTCTACCAGCGTAATCTCGTACATCTGCTTTCCCATTGGTGATCTTTACGTCGACTCAGTATTTTGATTCAGCTCCCCTCAAAACGCGTGCCAAAGGCAATAGAAATATCCGTAGAAAAGTTCAGATTGCTGCACACAAGTTGATCAGTCAAGGTCATGCTCGATACGTGAGAGAAAGCCGGATACTCGGACAAAATGAGGCGTTGGTGTAATTTCGGAAGAGATGAAGTTTAATTCCTAGAAAAGAATTTAACACTGAAGAGCCTTGCGTGCGTCGACTTGGTTCTCCAGTGTGCAGATGATAAGATAAAACATACATGGTTAGATGGTGCAGTGGTATTCTATTCGGAGGCCTACGACAACAATCCTACTTTGGATAGTAGATTGTTGGTTCGAATCCAGCAACAATCAACCACTTTTCTTCCTGTCCTTGTTTGCAGGATGATGGAGGCATACTTCGATGATCCCTCACGGCCGAGAGTCGATTGTTGAGTGTGGCAAATGTTCGTTGTAGGGGTCCTTGCAATTAAAATCTAGAGAATTTTTCTCAAGGCAAGAGCTATCAAAATTGCGTATAAAGCATTAGTCGTGTGTCATCAATAGACAACTGGATGGATATTGAACGATTAAAAAATCTAATATTTTCTACTTGTAGGCTAATAATACCTACACCTGGGATAGTACCTCCTTCGTGGCCCACTGAAAGCTTTTGATTTGGTCTTGCGCTTAGAGGAACCTCTTTCCTTTTTATCTCTCATCTCTTATCAAAGAAAGGACGGCAATCTGCGATTATTGGGCAGCCAATGTAGGTTACAAAACCGCTGGATGCATGGCTCACTTGATGCCAAAATCAGGATTCAATCCGAAGAATTGTCTGTCCTTTTGAAGCATTCAGGGGTATCGGCTGGTTGAACGCAGTACAATTTACAACGAGAACTGGTGATTATGGATACTGCGGATAGATGGAGAGTCTTCGTCCTTCCTGGCATATAGACAGACACAAGACAAACACAGTTCGATGCAAATCAGTATATCACACTAAAAGACAATCTTTCTTGGAATACGAAAGGAATTAAAGCTATCCCACTTTGGACTCTCACTGATGAGAGATGATGGGGTCTAGTAAGTAAATCTGCCAAGGTAGAAATATAGGCAAATTTATTCAAAGCTCGGGTAAATCACATCAAAAGAGTCATTTAATTTGTACACAAAGTAAGAGGTCTAAACCATAGCCATACATCTAGCCACCCATTGAATGTCCTGTTATATCTAAACAGGCTCTGGGCTTCGCGTTATGCTCATAGATACCCGTTATCGACTTCAGCTTCAAAGAGCGAAGGTTAAGTAACGACCAAGGTAAAGTAGGCAGACTCAGAAAGCCCGCTGCCATCACTTGTTGTGATGATCTTGAGGGAGTTGGGCCAAGGAAGATAAAGACTTAACACCTGTGCGTGGTGTCCTCTACGAGCTTGGGAGTGAAATATTTTCCCAGAACAAAGTTTAGTCAAAATTCGCAATAACAAAGAAGCTAGCCCACGAGGCAGTGATTCAAGACTCTCAATCAAGTCAATACCTCACTCCCAATAAGTTCGATTCCCATCAAAGCCTCACCATGCCTGCAATTAAGACCTGTTACATCCTTACCCCAATAACCACACCTCGTGTAATTGGAATAAACAGACAAACAAACAAACCACACCTCGTTAAATCAGTCTCTGGCCTCAAGTTGCCTCCACATACACGCTCACAAGAATATGAACACCGGCAGGAGGAGACAAATTGCGGTCCAAAGAATTTGTGATAGAAGCAAGAAGGATGTGGATAAGTAGACAAGATTTTGCTAACGTTTGATACAATTTCGAAAGGGGCGAGATTTATGAAAGGAGTTTTACAAATTGAGCATTTTGTGCCATACAACTTCGATTGCGAGGTCGGCAAAGACGAATTCTTCACATTCCAGTGGTGCTGGTGTAATCGCTCGGTATGCTCTGCATATCTGGGATAGCCAACAAGAATCGCATCCAAATCGAAGTCGAAAGCACTCACAAGCACATCTAAAATCGACGACTTCTCGTCAATGTTTGACCTATCATTTTCACGCAAATCCTCCACCTCAATCCAAATACACCACCTTGCCTCAAATAGCGATAAAGGCGTTACTCCAATTGCAATGGAGCATTTGCCTCATCAAAAATCGGCCATCTCCCACTACACATTTACGATGCTATGTATACCCGCGAGGAGGAAGTCAAGTCATAATCTATAAAGCTCGGGTCTTGGTCTATGGGGGACCCTTGCTCTAATGGGGCTTCATATCTTGAGAAAGGATAGGCAGCTGGAACGTTGGACGAACGAGTGAAGAAGTTACAAATGGGCATGCTGGGTCGCACATTTTTCGAGTGTTTTCGACTTAAAGATGTCTGTGGGCGCAGAGACCACGATTCCGGATAGTGCAACCGAAATTTTAAAAACAGGCAATGATGGAAGGTGTTTTGGTCCGCCTCCTGGACGTCATCTCCCCAAATTAAAGTCTGGGTAGCCTGGACACCTACCTCACTCGAGAAAGGGAGAACTATGAAGCCATATCTCGCGCGGCGGCTATATAAAATATGACAA